GTGAGGAAGATCCTTGCCTTTGATCTCCTTTCACGTTCATGATGAGCACTCGAATCCAAATTTCTTGGTCCTTACAGAGACAAAGAGCTCCTCTTAAATGCAGCACACTGAAGCACAAAACATCAGTCAACTACTAATTTCTGATCATCAGAGAAGTTAATAAAATGTAATTTATTTCTAGTTTTCTTCATAATTAACAACTATATCCACGTTTGACGCAGTTTAAAAGCCTTTTTTACGGATATAACGTGTTCACAGTACATTTTGCGTCAAGGCACCCTATGAAATTTTTCAAAATTGGTGCTTTCAATGTACTTTAAATATCATGGGCTTTTCAAGAAAATACTGCGGCCATATGAAATAAATTAAAGAAAGCATTACTACAGCGTCTAACCTAGGCTCATGCAATTCTTTGTTTCTCCACAATTTTAACCAAGTAAAAGGTTGAAATTAATTTTTTCGGGGCTTCCAAGTCTCTGACTTGGGCAATTATTGCTAAAAATTTCAGTATCAATTGCTGGGGGTCTCGGTAGCCTAAGTTTAGGTCATTTCGGCACTGGGTAACTGGAGGTGGTCAGAAAAAATAAAGTGTGCGGGGGGAGGGAGGGGAACCTCGAAAGTACTCTTTATTATTCGCATTCCAATACTTTATGGTTAATATATGAATGAAACGTTGCAGTTCGGACTCTCGGACTTATAGTTTTCTGATCTTCGCTTGACCATTGAAATGCACTGTTCCTTGCTGCACGGTTACAGCGTCATTTGGTTTTTGTTGAATCGACGAGACAAATGTCCAACAAACAGTATCACAACAGAAATCACAATTTTCCACCATGATGCTGTGAAAATCAAATAAAAACAACAGAAATGGTTACAGCTAGTATCAACGTCACCATTTAGCCTCCAAGATTGCAACAAGTTTTTATTTTCAAAATTGGATGTATCATAACCAGGAAAAAATTAATCAACGATGAAGGAGATCACTGTGTGATCAATAAGTCATCAAATGAGTATTCACCGAATGCTTGTTGATGATTCATCAATGAGCAATTGAACAAAAAAAAATCTCGTAAAGCATCAACTATTAATTGATTCCTTGATTACCCAGTAGAGTAACTGGCTATGCATCACAATCCATTTGCCTCATCTGAAGATATTTTCTAATTGAGCTCTTCCAAAAGTCTTGATATACATACTTTTTAATCGTTTCTGTATAAAGAAGTTATTTTAAAGAGTAAAACGTAAAGCTTTCTCTGATTGAGGCTCCATTATTCCAAGCGACTCTACTCCTCTCTGAGGCTCTTCCTTTGCTTGACCCCCCTCCCCCAAGGGCACCGATAAAATTACAGCTCTAACATAGCGGTCAAGCCATTCTTCGTGTTTTTGTTTGGTAGTCTTAAAGTTTCAGCGTTTAGCTTCTGGTTTGGCTCTACCTCTGAAGACGGATGTACATGTATGAATAATTTCTTTTTTCAATTTTTATGAAACTATTTTTAAGGAGAAGGTAAATGCGACGGAACCTTGGCCATGCGGCTCCAACGAGGCCTAAGGGCAACTTTCCCTCAATCGTTTGCTGATTGATTAGCGCGTTTAAGTCGTTTGTTTAAAACTTAAGTTTTTAGCGCGACGAAATTTAAGTTGAGATACCTTTGGTTGGTTTGTCTGTTGACAAGGGTTGTTCAGTTGGGGTGACTATTTCCATTGGCTGCGTCGAAAGTTTGGGTTGTTCAGTTGGGGTGACTATTTCCATTGGCCGCGTCGAAAGTTTGGATTCCTCAGGAGGTATAGCACGTGTCGAATCTATTTCGCTCCTCGGTTCTGATTTAAGGGGGTTTACAGAAGTGCCATACAATATCAAGGACCAGCTGTGAAGTTGACCTATGGAATAAACAGGGAAGTATTCCAAACGAACGGAAAACATTAACAATTCCACAGTTAGGAAAACGGTATCCTCATAAAAGCTGAATTGCTGAATCTGTAAGCATGTGAAAGATTTGCTTAATCAAAATTGCGTAACTAAAGGCTAGAAATTTGCGGTCCCTAGCGTGGAATGGTGGCACTGAGTTTTCGCTTAATCAATAAAATAAACATGTGAACGAGCATAAGAAGCGTTAAGCCTCCCACATCCCCATCACGATGAGGAAAGATATACTGAGCTTGAAAGTACGTAACTCAGGCCGGCCAAAATTTTTAGGCAGCAAATTAAAGAGAGCATTTGACGTTCAACTAATATACAAAGTTTGATCTGGCATCTCTGAGGATTAAGAAAAATTAAAGACAAAAACAAAACCACCGACAAACACACAATTACTCAAAACTTTTAAAGTAAGTTATAGATCACCTGAACTTGGAAATCGCTTGTCAAAATCATCAATTTTTAGCTCCCATATGCCAATCGGGTCTTCTCCCCAGTGAAAAAGAGATGTAATAATCCAGTCAGTCAAGTTTCTGAATTCTTTAAAGTTGTCTTTGCGCCGCTTTTGAGTCATTGGAGATGTTGTGTCACTTATTGCTCTCAACTGCAGGGACAAGTCGCCACGGCGAGAGAAATTAAGATTGACTCTGATCTGCACGTGCTCCAGAAATTTAATTGCACAATCTTTCACTTCTATTGAAACCATTCCAGGGATTTTTCTAAAACGAAGAATTGCAAAGAGACTAGGTTAATCGCCGTCAGTAACAATGTTTTCTTCAGATTTAATAAAAATGGTCGCCTTGTTGCTCAAAAGCCCCCTGCCAATTTAGGAGAATTTGAGAGGGTGCTAAATGCAAATTTTACAATAACCGCCATATAGGCAAACGTCTGTTTTAAAGAATGACATGGGGTACTCAAAGGGGTTAGAGTGTTTTCGCTTATGAGATTTGCGGAGATGATTGCTCACTCAAACGAAAGGACGGGTAAAATAAGATCGACATTTTTTTGTTTATTCAAACAAGCCGTAGGAAGCCAGTAATTTTATTACTGTGCACACATTAAAATGTAAGTTTCTGCTTCCGAAAAAGGAAATTTCAAAAAATGAAAAAAGGGAAAATTGACGCTCACATGTCTTTGTCACTGCCTTCGATCTCGCATTTTATCTGCGCTGGCACCTCCTTCCATTTACTTGCTAACATCACCATCATGCTAGCGTCCATGAGCCCAAAGCCATAAACCTTGCTAATATTAAACCCTGCCTTGTTTTGCAGCCAATGGCCTTGTTTGAGCCAGACTCCACCAGGCGCTGCTCTTGCACTGTTGGCTATGATGTGTTGGACGTCACGCCAAGTCAAGTTAGAGCTGGAAGAGGAAACAAACTTAAGCATCCGTATCTTCGAATTGATTTTAATAACCTTTAACTCCAGCAGAAATTCCTCGAATTTACGTGAGTGGAATTCGTCTAAATCCCCTCGATTAGCGCCCACTCATAGAAGGGTCGTTCCACTTACCCTTCCACACCGATTAAGACTGGGTAGTGAGGGATTCTTTAACAGCATCAAGAATAATTCACACATCTTGACGGAGCTCCAGGAGCATATGCACCTGCATACCCCCGTGAAAACTACAAGTTGTTTTTCACCTTTGGTTTCTCGCTTTGTGTTTAGTGTTATGAATGGTGGTTTTCATTGCATACTCCTTAAGGCGGCAGGACTTATCAGTGACAAGAGGGTGGAGGAGTTAAAGCGGCACTACGAGTCTTGGTTAGTTTTCTTGACAAAGAGGAGGTCACATGCCCCCTTAAAATCGGTGTTTCACCCCACATGCCAAAGCTAAGTTTTGACTTAAGTACGAGAGGGGTACGTTTATTCTGTGCAACTCGCCTCCTTATACTTATGAATATTAACTCTATGACATAACAATCTTACTTTGCTTGTAGGGTCAGTGCAATCATTCCTGATGCAATGGCAGTAGCCGCTGACGTAGCTCCGAAATCATTGACACAACCCTTTACGTTATCAACAGTTACCTGGATGATATACAAAATTTTCATACATTAGCAGGCAGAGAGATATAGAGAATGAGCGAAATTATTAGTTTGGGGATAACGTTTGACTTAAATATCAAATTAAGTCACTTATGGTCACAACTTTAGTTGGAAAATTTTGCGTCAGGCCAAAAGAGTTTAGTCGGTCTGACGACATCGTACATATTCTCGACTGAACTGAATGTAACCGACGTCATGAGTATTTGTGTTCACTCCGCTCATTAAAAAATGCAAACATTAAAGTTACAGGAAGATGGATAGAATGAAATGAAACTTACAATAGACTTGCAATAAAAGAAAAGATCTAACTTAAAGGTTTCACATCTTAACGACATTCAAACGTCGCCTTCGCAGTTTTTCTTTCCTTTCATCTATTTTTGGGTCGCAAACTGTATTGACTCATTCCACTTACAATTCCTTCACCTTTGTCACTACTGTACGCGGTGGCCATGATTGCAGGACATTCTTCTGCGTAGCTGGGACGGGATCCATCTTTATTCACACCGTTGATGGCGATGGTGTAAATGCTGTTCACATAACCATCGTATGCACAGCCGTCCCCTACTGTACCGCCATTTCCAGCTGCAAACGTGTAGATGGCACCTTGTTTATCGCGACCCTTGGTTTAAACAAAGGGTATATATATATACATTAGCCACTAAGACATCGTTGAATATTTCCAAGGAAGAAACTCATTTAGTTGAAAGTGTACAATGTGTAACGAGCCATCATTATTGGCAAAAACCTTAGGGCTGTCCACTTTGAAGTGGTTACAGATGGAAACTAACTAAGACAAGTTAATGCGCTACTGTTCGTCCTTCACATATGGTTGAACGAAGGCGATCGCGCTCAGACCGCTCTCTCTATGAAAATGTCAACGGAAATGAAGATAATAGTCATAATGATGGTGTTTGGTGCTGTCAGCGACAATGGTGGCGTGCGTAATTGTAGTAAAAATGGCAAGGATAATAAAAATGGTGGCAAAACTGAATGAAAAGGTGATAAAGCTTGTAAGATTGTGGATAAAAGATGAAATATTTAGTGAGCTGAACGGGATGATGTTATTCAATGGTAAAAGCTCTAATCACTCGATAAGATACCTCTTTAATGCCTTTTTCTAAGGCTGCACTAGTCAACGGTCCAGGACCCTCTATTATCCGTGCCGAATCCTCAGGTCCCCAGCTGTTGGAGTATATGCCAATAATTTCTAGCTTGTGCACCAAGGCTGCAGATTCTGTTGCATCAGTTGCTTCGTTTACATCATCAAAAAAACGAATGCCTAACAGAAGAGAATACGGGATTGAAAGTAGATGTTTTCCTCACGAGAGGAACATCATACAAATACACAGCATGGAAAACGTTTTACCGAGTTACTTGCACCCCTACTTGAACCCGTGTTACTCGAACCCTTTCAAGGTGTGTGAATTATTCTTGATGCTACAAAAGAATCCCTCACTTCCCAGTCTTTATCGGTGTGGAAGGGTGAGTGGAACAACCATTCCATGAGTGGGCGCTAATCGAGGGGATTGAGACGAATTCCACTCGCGTAAATTCGAGGAATTTCTGCTGGAGTTAAAGGTTATTAAAATCAATTCGAAGATATGGATGCTTGAGCTTGTTTCCTCTTCCAGCCCCAACTTAACATGGCGTGACGCCCAACACATCATAGCTAACAGCCCTTTTAAATCGATCTATTTTTTCGGGTAATAAAACATCACAAGTGTAGAAACTTGTCTACAAATTTACCTTCTATCTGAGCTGAACCTGGGGAATATCTGGTGAATATCCGTTTAAAATCAAATTAAAGATGAGCTAGGAAGGTACTTTGGGGAGGTTCTTTCATTTTCCCGGTTGTGTAATTTGTTTATATGGACAAGTTTGGGGGGTTCGCTTTGCTCTCTCGATTGCAAAGGACATTTTCATTATTAAAGGTATTTATGTGATATCTGGCACATGTATGTTAGAAATTAAGTATGCAATTAGTCCCCCAAGGATTTAAAAGAGAGTGTAACTTCACAGTCCAGGAACAAACTACTGAGATTAGCACGAGTCCTTTTTTCACATTCTTTCCTCTTGAGTCTGTCAATCGCACCGTCTAACTCCTTGAATGCATTGGTTACAATGGGTAAACATTACATTAAAGTCAAAAGGTTAGACTATACTCTAAATGTTAGTTATTACCTGCAATGTTAGCTTCATAAGCTATTCCCACACCACATAAACCATTATTGCGTTTTCCAGCTAGGACACCCGCACATTTATTACCATGTCTGTAAATAAATAGAGATAAACATAGATTGGTTTCACTGTCTCAAACCTTTGTAATTAGCTACAAGCATACACTTGTTAAAGACGGGAAACGGTCTTCCCAGGTGAACTGCAACTAAAGAAATTGCAGAAAAAAGGGTGAAAATATCAGGACCGGATTTAAATAATTTCAGTTCATTTTGGCTTCAAGTATGCAGTTTATTCTCACTGCTACTATATTCAATATACCACCGGAAAACATTCGTTGAACAATTTCTGCAGCAGTCTTTGGCTTCGCCACATAACACAAAACCTCAGATAATTTTTGCAGATTTTATGGTCTTTAAAAATGCTATTTGTGAAATAGGAGGATACCTGTCAAATTGGTATTCTTGACCTCACAAAGTTATTTGTGAATCAGCAAGAAATGAAACAACGGTTAAATGATGACATCAAAGCAACTGAGGCAAGGCTACGTGCGGACGCCGAACGAGAGCTCTGGAAAATTGCAGAAGTTGTACATCCAAGCGTTAAAAGTTTGATCTGCTTAACTGCTGCAGCTTTCTTGCATAAATCAAACAATTCAGCTTTTTCCATTCCTTTGCCGCCATCACTTAGCTGAATGCCTTTCTCCCACAAATAATTCTTCACTTTCCCACACTGAATTTGAGAAGTTTTTGCTCATTTCCATCACCACGGCTCTTTATTATACATACCTATAAGAGCGCACTTAGCCTCGCTCTCCTGCCCTTACTTCGGCACCTGATCATTGAGCCGCGAGAAATCGGAAATGGTCTATCATCGTATATGTCTTAAAATTCGTGATATTCGTAAACTTTGGTGGGGCTTTCGTTGTAACCCTTGAATTGACTCGGTAGACTTCGTCGATGGTCTGGCTAATTTTCGAAAATTTCGTTCTTTTCGTAACTGCGTTCAATCCTGAAAATAACTCGTCATTCTTTCGCCCCTACCCCTCCCCCTCTCCTTCTTTTCCCTGACCAGATTTCAATTTCTTTCTACTATATCACCCCTGAATCAAACATTAAGGTTACGAGAATCAAGGAAACGATCAACAACTAGTAGAGAACAGTATGGAGAATATGCATACTGATGTTAGGCTGTAAAGGGATAATCAGCTCACCCTGGTACTCGTGTTCCAAACGACACCTGTTTGTCAGCCACATAATCGTAACTCAAATCCCATCTCTAAAGAAATAAAATCCAAAGTAGACAAACAAATAAACAGTATGAAGTTAGGAGATCCTTGCAGCTAAGAACACTATTGAAACGAGTAGTTGAAAAAAGGACCTGAAAAAAATTCAGGCCCTATTTTCAGATCCTATTTTCAACTACTCGTTTCAGTAGTGTTCTTAACTGCGAGTATCTCTTAATTTCATTTCTTCACCGCAGTGCAAATATATGAATTTCATATATCTAAAATCATCAAGTAAATAGTAGTGATCAAGATGAAAAGGTAAAGTGCCTCAAAAAGAAAAAAAGACTGAAAATGAGAAAGCAATAGTTACATAGTTATCTTGTAGTTCATGATGACTGCCATCAACTCCATCATCAACAACTCCCACCACAATTCCTTTTCCTGTATAGCCAGACTTCCAAGAAGAAATGACATTGAGTGTTGGTTCATTAGATCCCTCAGGTCTTTTCTAAAATGCAAGAAATATCAGAAGAGCAGGATTAGAAGCCTTTGAATTACCTATCGTTTGAAATACAGTGAGCTTACTGAAGCAGATAGTCATCACAGTCCATTCCTTTTCAAAACTGAACATAACTTTTCATGCCAGGTGAGATGACTGGAAATATAGCCAGGTAAGTCCTTTAATATGGCCAGAAAATTATTAAACTCACAAACTACAATAGTCAATAGTGAATACAAGTAGGTCACATAGCACTAAACTTAGTAACAGATTATTATTACCATGCCAGTAATTATCATCATCATCACCAATGTCATTATTATCGTCATTAAAATGTTAACGTTTTTGCTGTTATTATCATCTTTATCATAATCGTCATGATCATCATCATTATCATCATCATCACTGTCACTGTCATCCTCACTGTCACTGTCATTAAAATCATCATTGGTACATCCAATGGTATAGTGCAGCTTAAGGAAAAGGGAACATTTATACCAGTTCCATACGCACATTTTATATGCAAGTGTATGCATCTGTTAACACATGAGTTTGAAAATGCATACATACAAATTAAACAAATGCTCCTGAGAATAGACGCATGCGCTCCTCTGTCAATACTACACTGTACATATGGTCTTACTTGTATACGCATCTATGTCCATTTAACATGCATATTTTGGTTCCCTTATCTATTAAATGTGGTGGTAGACATAGGTTGTAGTGAAAACAAAGACCCCGGAAAGCTAACTTAAGATCTTAAAGACCTAAGACCCGAAATCGACGACCCCTTCATAATCTTGAGACAGGAAGTTCGCCTCATCATTATGGCTTCACCAAAGAAAACCAGTGAAAAGACTGACAACTCTGTTCACAGCGTTAGGCACTGTGATCTTTCATCAGTTAAACAAAAGCAAAATTGCTTAAACCAGAATTCACTTATTTTCGTTTCATTAAATTCCTGTTTGTAGCTTTCTTGATTTATTTTTGAAAAAGCTAGTGCCCTTCAAAATTTCCTTGCGTTCCTCATTCTAAAAAAAAATATCAGAGCTTGCTGATGTGAACTTTTTACCTGGCTGACACCAGCTGGTGTTAGAGAATCGCTCTTCATTCATACTTGCACGACATATGGCATAATTTCTTCTTCTCAAAGTCTATTTGGTTTTGGCAAAATTGCACCGGCTGAGGAAGCTTTGGAGAGATTTTTTCTCAAGGACTTCGGAATTACACCTTTCTTGTACTAAGCACTTACTTTGTGGGAAGGGTGGGGCAATGAAAGATGTGTTTTATCACATCCCTTATAACTGTCAATAGAGAAAAGAAGGGGTCTTTGTTTTTCGGGTCTCTTTCTTTTTCTAGTCTTCATTTTTGGGGCCTTTTTATTTAAAATCGGTGTTTGATGGCATAATTTGTCGCTATTAGAAAGATTAAAAGCAGGACTGAATATTTCTGGCAAGAAACCATAACAAGATCATAATATATAAAGAAAATAAAGGGGTCTTCATTTTCGGGTCTTTGGGGGTCTTCGTCTTTGCTACAGCCGGTAGACACAGTAATATTAACATATTCACCGACAAAATAATGAAAGGAGAATTAACTTACAATATACCACATCTCACGAAGTTCTGGGTCTATCTGTAAAAGTTTATACTTTTTCTTTTTCTGACGCATAAACCATTCAACCTGAATATAAAGAAAATAACAAATGAATTATGAATTATCAATATCTAATGAGAATTCTTTGGAAAAGAAAAAATAAATATCAGAGCCTCTGTGGCCTGACTTACTCATAACTTTAAGTAAACATAAGATCAGGAAATTTAAGTGAGTTTAGGGACTAAAACAGTATTTGTTGTAAAGGGTAGTTTTGACTTTCAATCTCTAATGCAAGTTTCAAAAACAAATCTGTTTTCCATGAAAGGAGCACTTGAAAACAATAACTCTGTCGAATTAAGTGACTGCCCTTAGTTGAGTTCAAGTAAATCCTTCTTATCGTACGCATGTATTTTACTCATTTAAATTGCACAGTTGTTACGCAGTTCGCAAAATCGCATAATAATAACAATCTTGAAATCGAAAACTCAACAGTTGCAGCGTATCCAGTTGTGTAAGATAGATTTTCAACTGTTTCGAGTCTAGTGTTCAACATGAACGACTATTTCAGTCAACATGTCCGCACAAAAACAACTAGCACAATGAATCTATTCGACATTCAAGACATGATTGAAAGTTCATGTAGACTTTCTTCTTTGTAACTAATATTGACAGGTATGCAATGACATATTATGTCGTAAAAAACTCTAGTTTTCAACCTTTACCATTCTTATACTTAAAATTGACCCTGTTCCAAAGTTCCTGTTGAGTGGAAAATTCCTTAATTAACACCCCTACCTTTCGTTCAGAACGTAAAATGCTGTCAATTTCTGATGATAGCAAGGTCTTCCCAGACTTTTTCACACTTTTTATAGTATGATAGTCATCAAAGAGCTGAAAAGTTCAATGAAATAATGTTAAAATGAAAACGGTTCCTATAAAAGTAATCTTTCAGTCATTTTGGACTGCCAATCAATGGATTAATACTATGTATAGTATCTAATGATAGTAAATGAAGATAATCTCCAAGAACTTTAATCAATGTACTTAGAAATAATTTAATAACTATACTTCATATTTTTAGATAAGTTGGCATAACCACCCATCTTTCTCAACCTTTCCTTGTTAAGTGAGTCACTCAAGGGAATATAATATAATATTATTAATTATTAATATTATTATTATTAAATTATATATATATATATTCCCCATCCACTTTTCTGAGACTAATTGTCACTGGTGCGTGGAATTTCTTAAGTGTCGACAATCAATCAATATGGGATGCACAAGCTCGGAGAACTTGTCCTCTAAAAAAACAAATTAATTTTTGGAATCGCTTAACATTTGTAAACAAACATCTGATATTCTTAAGAAGTTTGAAAGAATCTTTCAGTTTAAATTCTGTGAAAATTTCTGACTGCCGAACATTAATTCTTTTTGAGACCGTGCCGGGCTGCCGGGCGTTTAGCCACAGCTAATTTTAAGAGGTCTCTCAGATCTCTTAAGCTTAATTGTCAAATCTTAGCCTTATGAGCAGAAGGGCATTTTTCTGTGCATGCGCCAGTGTAGTTTTTTCTTTGTTGAGAGTAACCGCTGGCATGCACCTGCGCCACGCGTACGTATTTGTTTCCAGCTTTCGATTAGGCGCGGTAGTAGGGAAGCACGAAATAAAATGGCTCGTCTATTTGTGTTTGTTGTCATTCTTGCGATTTTTTTCTCAATGTAACTTGGCTAGAAGCGCGATAAAATCGAAAAATGGTTGCGTGGTATGTAGGAGAAAGTCCCAGCTTACCTCTGTTTCTGATTCAACAATTCAGTCGAAACGTACATAACGAAGCAGTACTTACATACTTACATGTTTGTCATAAGAGAGGTCGTACTTTAGGGCTAACTTCTCGACTTCTTGTCGACCGCCACTCATTTTTACGGCCCAGATATTAGTGTTAAGTTCGCTGGAAAAAGTTTCCGTCAGAACCAAAGTTAGAAAATAAATCAGAGGAAAAAAACGAAACATTTTGATCGCAATCGTACAGCAAGATGATTGGTGAAGAACTCTTTCGATCAAAAGTAGATCGGCGAATGTGAAACGTAAGCATGACGATGTGGAAAAACATACCATCGCTATCCTGCTGTTAGTAGCATTTCCAAACAAAGAAGACTTATAGTATATTAATAGTTGTAAATCATTAGACGGTAACGACAGAATTTTCGCGAAAGAAGTTTTAATGAATCTTAATGCGTCGTGCTGTCAAGTGACAAGAGATGGTATGCGAGGGATTGTAACAAGGAACACTATTGCATTGTGAAGGGTGTGAACGGTGTTGCGGTATTCTCTTTAACGATTCCCTCGATTCCATCACTATTGTAACTACTATTACTAGCATTTCCAAACAAGGAAGACTTCCAGTACATTTATAGCAATTTTTAATCATTAGAATGGCAGAATTTAGCCTCCGCTAAAGAAGTTTTAATGAATCTTCATGCGTCGTGCTCTTACTCTACAAGAGATGGTATGCGATGGACTGTAACGAGGAACTTTATGACGCATGAAGTGTGTGAATATTATTCACTTTCACGATTCGCTTGGACGATTCTGTTGAACCGTCTCGAAAACGACTTCACGAATTTCTTATACATTTTGGCTCAGAAAACATAAAAACAATAGATTATCGCAAAATCATCGTTTCCTGAACAACAGCTTCACAGAAACGAATAAGAAGTTGAAAGAATGCGTGGACGTATGGTTGCTGATTGTTTGTGTACAGATTACAGAAATAGACTTCATTTGGTTATGTTGCGTTATGCGTAACATAACTATCATGGGTAAAATTTTATCTTATCACGAGTTCCATTTGAACCTCACGATCACAACGAAGAAAACGTGATTAAACTCACTAGGAGAACATGGCCAAACTCACAAGAAGAACGTGATCAAACTCAACCTTTAAGATAAGACCACCAAGAAGGAATACGAAGTAATCAACCTGCCCTTTTTATAACTTACATTAAATGACTTAAAACAATATAATATTTCCATTCCTTTCCTTTCCGACACCAATACAGGAAACCCTTACGATATTGTAGATTAACTATAATTGTAATTTTATCATTTAACAAAACTAATTTCAAAAGCCATTTATTCCTTTTTTTAACTTTTATTTAGGCCTTGAGTATTATTTTGAAGCTCTTTGTTCCTAAAAGTATGTCATGAATATCAAATGACCATCTTGTAATTTGCATATTTGTTTGCAAATTAGCAAACAAAAACCCGTTCGGCCTCTTGTCTAATTCAAATCTTAGTTATTTATGTTTACGAGTGATTCGAGCTTTTTCGATAATATTCTTTTATCTGTTCCCTTGTGGCGTCAACGTCAACCTCAGATGAGCTTTTGGCTTTTTTTACAACTGTCTTTTCAGTGATTTATACTGCTCAATCTCGTGCAAAATTGAGTTGAACCCCTTATCAGAGATAGAGCTATTTTCAATCGCCTTCGAAAACAACCAGGTCCCAGTTGTTCGAAGGCCGATTAGTGCTAACCCAAGGTTAAATTTTAATGTGGGTTTCTTTATTCCTCTATTCAAATACCTTTTTTGGGATAATGTCCTGCGTTCTGTTTAGAGCATCAAAGAGTCATGTTATAGACAGAAAGAATTTGACTGAATTTTCTTTTCAAGCTATCAGATCTGAAATCAGATTTCACACTAACCCTGGGCTATCCTAATCCAGCTTTGAATAACCCGGCCCTGCGTACTGACACGTGTTTTGCCTCTGCTTTTGAAATAGTTTTCTCATGTTTTGTAATTTTCTCATTGAGAGTCTTGCTCCCAACAGTAAATGCTGTTGACATAAATCCTAAAAAGCCGGCTAAGCTGGCCATTGGTGCTCCGCAATAAGATGGATGGGGTTAACTGACAACTGACAAATGGCCAAAATTTTAACTGACAACTGACAAATCGCTGAAAGTCTAAATGACAAGTGACATTTGACAAGTGACATTTGTCACTGAAAAGTGACAAAAGACCGGATCGCCCTAAATATCCTAAAAACTGGATGTAACATAAGGACAGTTTTGATGTGAAACTTTATCACAAGGCTCCGAAATCAGGAGGGAAGAGCGACAATTTTGCCCTAACTACGGACGAGCCATGTAATCTAGAGTTACCGTACCGACCATACTGGCTGGAACAGGAAGCGAATTAAACAGTATGTATTGGGATGGTTTGGTATTTTGTATTTAGTATTGATGTAAATATTTAAGTTAAAAGCCTACTCTGTAGTATAGAACGCCTATAGATACCGATTTATAGGCATTAAAGCATAGAGAAAGCACACATGTCTCTTCAAGATGCCGTAGACAAAGAATCGTATGTAAAAGACAACATCGAAGGACCTTTTCTGAGGTGAAATAGCGGCACAGTATAAAGAAAACCACAGCAACCGGTCCTGAAGGAACTGGGTCTAAAAGAACTCTAGTCTCACATGAGTCCGTGGGGTTTCTTGACCGCGCGAGATCTGGACTCGAACATGGCGCGAGCTTTAAAAATACAAGCGACTAAATACAGGAATGGCTCTGACCTGTAATTGGATGATAAAAATAGTAAAAGTTAATAAGTTATATCTTAACTCCTTGCTCGTGAGTATTGTTAACCGCGTGTCTCAAAGCGGAACAATGAAACATCAATGCGAACGAAAACACTGATGTGTCAAACAAGGAATGGCCTAGCACAGGGAAGTTAGCCTTTCTTGTTCAGCGAAGTCGTTCAGCGATATTCCGGCGATGATAAAGTCATCTGCTGACTAGCTTTGCTGACTAAACTCATTTAGTCAGTTCAGGCGGACGACCAGAGACTGGAGCCATTCCTGTATTTCACCGCTGACAGGAATAGCTCCGAATCAAACGTTTAATTTTTTTTTTCAATTATGTTTTTATAATTTTTTAAAAATTTTTTAAAAAATATTCAAAACTAAACTAGTGAGCAGCACTGTGCGAACAGCAATTGTAAAACTTCTTTATTCTCTGAAGCGTTTCGTCTAAGTGTCGTAAACTTCTTCAGGGGGTTTAACAAGTTACGACTAAACGCTTATATTTATAAGCTATTGTTAGCGGCTATTGCGGAGGCCAATGACCATATGGGCTTGGCTGGACCTACGAGCAGGAATAGGTAAAGTTG